AGATTTAAACAAAAGTGGAATAAGTGGTCTTTACGTATCACTTACTACGTCAGTTTTCCAGGTCTAAAAACATCAGAGGTCAAATAAATTCCGTAGAACTTTTCCCAGAAGTGTCATGAAAGGCCCTTTAATCAGCTGAGGGTGTAGTGTTCAGAAATTTCTTAAAAATGCAGGTTAGCATAACAGTCCGGGAAGTGGTGCATGTTGACTTCTACCTGGGTGCCTTTTGCCTGCAACTCAGCACTAAATTCATAATAAGGTAGGAAATTCAAAAAATTTCTTTTTCATTTGCTTTTCGCCCCTATTGGAATGTAAAGTGCGGTATAGAAATAGTTCAAACTGCGTTCGTACTTACCGGCGGCGTTTTGAGGTTCCGTGCGTTTCGACCATTTCAAACAAAGAGATCTTATATTAATCGCTCTAGAGCTTTACGTATTTTGAGCTAATCGCTTTTAGCGCAAATTGGTACCTATACTATCTTTCTCGCCAGAAAAGCTCGAAACTCTCAAAACGGTGGCGTTTTTCTTAACGCGCTACATCGTCACCTACAGGCTCCCTTCCGCCCGAAACGCTCAGATTGCCATCGAAAAGTATGAACGCGGCCTTAGCGTCACATCGCTGCTTTCCTTTTTCTGCGTTGATGCAAAATTTTACAAAGTTACTTTAGAAAATCGCTTATTTTATGTATTTTTCACTTCTCATGTGTAGGAGTTATACTCTATAGGACACATGATCAGATAGAGAACTCAGTTTCTAGTCACAAATCTTCACTTTTTGATCAGCTTTTTTTAATGAGACGCTATAAAATGTGGTTACAGAGCATCGCCTTGGAGAAACATTGGGAAAAATCTTCATTAAGCCTTTGAAATTGGTCAGCAACTCCATTGCCATCTCTACCGCCGATGTTGCAAAGGTGAGAACTATGGTTTTAAACAGTGATTCTATGGTTTCTCGGCGGAATGAAATGGGAGGAGATTCTGTAGGGCATTAGCAACTACTCCTGAGCGAACGTCTTCTTC